ACCCAATCTAATTATTTTAGTTTTAATATTTTTTTGTAAATTTTTTTTCTGTATTCTTAAGATATCAATAAAAATACGATAAAAAAATGGATAGTAAAAATATTAGGTTGTCAAAAAAGTCTTGCGGTATTTTCGCTAGTTGGCGCTGAGAGCGTCGCATCGGGTCATGCTATACTATAGGCGATCAAAGATGTGGCACCCTCCGTAAGGCCTGTCGTCGAAAATTGCGATAAAATCAGCATCGGTCAAGAGCTGGGCATGAGTCATCACCGTAATAAAACCGTAATAAAAATAAATAAAACATACCGCAAGACTTGTTTGACAACCATATATTTTTGGTTTAAAAAAAAATATATATAAAAAAAACTGACCAAAATTTTATTTCTAGAGTAGAATACCCCCTTAAGAATAGATCACTACGTTTAGTCACACCCTCTTTAGCACTGCACTATTTTTTACTGACTTAACTTTGCTTCAAGAACTTCTTCATTAAAAAAAAAAAATTGTATGAAAAAATATCAACTCACTTCTCAAGGCGTTGTCACTAACGTCACTACAGTATAATCACAACTAATTTCATAAAGTTGAAGTCAATCTTCGAGAGAGTAGCTCTAACTGTCTGCATTTTATCGCAAAGGGGAAATGCACAAGTCTACAACGCAATATCACAAAGTCGGCGTGTGACCGCTTTCACAGAATGCGTTAGATAAACCCACGAAAATTTATCGCATGCGAGCGCAAAGAGAAACCCGCCCGCCGCTTGAAAATGCGCTGTACTCTCACCTCTTACGCTGCAACTTAACGCTCTTTAATGGTTTCAATCCTTTTTTCTTTCCCAATTGCAGCTAAACACATATCACACAAACATATACTATACTATATATAGAGGACCAAGCAAAGATATAGTGCACGCTTTCTCAAACTTGATAAGCCGCTTGAGAAAGCTGACTTTTTGTGAAATCCCTGTTATCACTAAAATTTTTATTTTTTTTTTTTCGAATATATTTTGTGTTCTCTTGAAATGGACGGAATTTTTTTGCACCGCTGATTTGTTAAACTATAAAATTTTAGTATTATTTTTCTTAGCCAAATGAATTTTAGAAAATTTGCAAAATTCAACATTTGAGACTTAAATTTGGAATACAAAAATTAAACACACTTCACATCAAAAAAACACGACGAGAAAGCAAGAAAAATTTTCGATTTTATTTATTTCAATTTGGCGAGTGAAACAAAATGAAAAGTGAATTTGAGAAAAGGGTGTTTTTGAAAACAAAAAGGTGTCTACTTTTAAGTTGAAGTAGTTTGGAAAAAAAAATTGCTGAGAGTGAATTAATTAACATTAATTTTCGATTACATGCCATCTCATAAAAGTGGGAACGGAACCAAATCGATAATTTTTTTTTTCATAGATTGGCTAAATAGTAGAGGTAATATCATCTCTCATGGAACGACTCAACATATTTTGGGTATAAAGCGTGTTTATGTCAGATTCGGTTCAAAAGACCTGGATCTACTATTGGTACTATTGGTCCATACTATTATTAGAACTGTAGTTGGAATTAAAGTTACTTATATCGGGTGCCATGCGCACATGCGCGTCGGCAGCACTTGAAGTCATGCTTGAGCTCACACCACTTCACCTAGTAAACGGGCAGTTAGAAAAACACACACTGCTTCAAATGATAGCAGAATGGTTTGGCAGAGGTAAGATAATCTCATCCCAACGTATAAAGGACTTAAGTGGTGAAATAACATTGGCTCTTTTTCAAGGTAACTGGAATAATTCCACTCTTGAGCTACTGCTTGAGGATAGTACAATCATGTGGTACATCGACGGCTCGGAAAACATCGGAGGGAATTGGTGCAGGAGTCGTAAGGCAACGTACCAAACTCGCCATACTTATGAGAAGTTTTCTGAGCATATTTCAAGTAAAAGTCTTTGCTGGAAGTCGATGCATAGAACGGCACTTAAAGCAATCTCTGCCTACGGAACGTAATCAAGTGCACCTTATCCGGCTGCCCGGATAAACTTTGAACGCATGGCCATACTTCCGTTCAGAGCTTTCTGTTTGCCTTTCATAAAAGTTAACTAGCTTAATGTATGGTAGAAGGCTCAAATCTGTAGTTATCACGCCACAAAATGTAGTGTGAAATATCGAAATTAACCTCCCCCCTCTTGTAAACACCGATTAAATGCAGAAAATATGGAAAAACTTTACTAAAAAGTAATCATATTAGTGGGTGCCTCGCGTGCGCTAAAGAAATTCCAATTATTGCAATATAAAAGCTTATGGCTCGTGTAATATCTTTTTAATGGACGAACATTGCAACAATATCCATTCGCTTTTGTTTTTTCCTTTTCAAAGAAAACTACACAAATCGCTTTGGTATTAACATAATCACTTAACACACTCATTCGTACATATATACATATGTATATATATATCTATATATATATACATATATGTGTGTCTATGTGTAAGTACTTGTATCAGCAATAAATCAGCATATTTAGCACCGCAAGCGCGGCTGTTATGAAACCTCGCCTGAGCGAATAATAAGAAATTGCGGCGATTAACGTAAGACGGAAGCGCAAACAATAAAAAACCGTAACAAAAATAATTATTGAAAAACCATAAAACGAATCGTGTAAATGCAAAGATTTGCACAAAAATTGCTTGAAGTAGTTTTCTAATTTTCCAGGTCTTACTTTCGGTTTTGCATTTTATGGGCGATCAGCAAAATAAACAAACAGTAATACAAACATACATATTTACAATTGCGCTCAAAATTATAGCAGTGTTACATGATAAAAACAAAAAAACCACAGAAACGTCATTAAGTTCTATTGGATAATATTCGACCGAATAGACCGCCTCCAGTAGGCAGTGAAGAAAACCCGTTCGATGTTGTTCGCAGCAGCTGGGACTGACTTATAGAACGACTTGGCGCATTTTACGTCGAGATCTTAAATTGAAAGCTTTTGTGTAAGAACTAAAGTCGCTCCATCTTCCCAAGCAAGATCGCTTGGATCTATGGGACATTGAAGATCCACGTTTTCGAGCCAAATTCTGTTCAGCGCTGCGGCCCATTTCCGGCTCAATGGGTACGTAAACAAGTAAATAGAAGCTCGTGATCTCGGACAATCCCGCTTTGATTCAGGCCTTGGAGTAAAACATAACGTATGTCATTCAACCGTTAACAGCCGAATTGCTAAACTAATTCAACCAACTTCTTTTATGACTGGACTTCGGAAGAGGGAAGTGAAAGAGCAATGCTCTACGAAGTATACTATATATGGAGATATCTCCCAGAGGGATGATAATGTCATATAGTTATTGAAAAACGGATCTATCGTATCTGTGTCACTGCTGTCAGACTGTAGGAACTTGAAAAATATTTTTCAAGTCTGAATGTTCTTCCTCTTTACAAATTTAAAGTTCCGATCGATATTTGAAGTTTGTCAAAACCACAGCACTAGATGTTAGAGGATACGGATACTATGCGATCAAGACCTATGACTTTAAAAGAAGTGAAGGGCATTCTGGAAGATATTTCTTGAACTCAAGCAATTCAGCGCCCGTAATTTGTCACTAGACAGGAGGAAATCATTTACCAACATGAAAACGCCCACCCACCAACGAAAGTTGAAAAAATGTTGTAGGTTCAGATGGCCAATACCTTGAAGAATACTATTTCATATGTTTTTCTTAAATAAACCTTCAAATTTTGGAAAAAGAACCGCACAAATGTAGTTTTAAAAATAGACGATTTGGTTTGATATGTGCGTTTCCACACTGCTTTAATTTTGCTCGCTATTGTATAAGTTCGCTTACGTATAATAACAAACGGTACGTTGTACCTGCTTAACGTTTGTGTAATCATTGATATGAGCGAGCGTTTTTCATCTGCTGACGCCGCGACTATGTGGTTAATTTATGAGTTAATAATAACAACAAACCCAGAAATGAGAAGGAAAAATAAAATTGAAAAAGTAAACGAAAATACTTTTTGCCGCGTTTGACTGGCGCGCGAAAATCAAACAATGTATTGCTCAAAGTATAAATAATAATCATAATTGTAATTGTAGWAGTAGTGGTAGTAGTGGTAATAAGAGTACTGTTTTAGTTGCCTTAGTTAGAGTAACGGTAAATATGTAGTAGAGTAAACACAACAACAACAACAACAAACATATATGCATAACATGCGCAACAACAAAAACGTGCCGGGTTATTAAAAAAAAAGTATTTCAGTTGAAAAAAAAAGTAATTAAAAAAGTAATTTAGTTTTGCATTCACAGTTAATGTTTTGCCGAACAATTTGCAACGAAGAAAATATAAATTTACGTGCGACGTAGATAACGAAAGTAAAATTATCTAAAACTTATTCAAAATGCGAATTATTGACAAAGTTTAGTTTTAAATTTATGCGGCGATTCAAGTAATGCAATAAAATGAACAACAGAATCGGCAAACAAAGCGTCAAAACGTTGCAATGGGTAATTGTAATATAATATGTAATGCGTAATGATAATGTAATTCGTAAAAGTAATGGTAATTGGTAATAGTAATTCCAGAAGAATGGGTAATGGTAATGGTAATTCTATGAATAATGCTAACGCTAGGATTATGGTAATGTAATGGATATTGATAATGTAATGGGTAATCGTAATGCAATGGGTAATGATAATGTTTTAGGGTATGGTAATGTAATCGGTAAAAGTAATTGTAATTGGTGATGGTAATGCAAGAGTAATGGGTAATGACAATGGTAATTCTATGAATAATGCTAATTCTAGGGTAATGGTAATGTATTAGGTATGATAAAGTAATGGTATTGGTAATTGTAATGCAAAATGTAATTGCGTGGTAATGGATGATTTGTGACGTTCGAAATCTGATTTTTAATCGTGCAAATGTTTATGTATATGATATCTCTATATCTTTCGATATAATTATTATGCAGTTATTTTTAATTCTTTTTTGATAAACACTCACCGATTTCCTCATCTGTTCTGATCGGATTTTGCGGTGTTTTCGGTTCCTCGTGACTGTTCGTATGTAAGCTGCTAACACTAGAAATGCTACTGCTCATTATAGGAGCTATTGTTGGGAGCATGGAGAACGTGGGCGAAAGCTGGGACGATCCTGTGCAGAGATACAAAGAGAGTAGTAATTAAATAAAGAACTAGGAAAATATTACAATTTTAATTAAAATATTCTATAGAAGCATTTGTATTACAGGAAAGAACAGCTTCATTCGAAATGTTTGACAGAAAAAAACTAATTTGATTGGAGTTTTTGTTTGAGTGCCTTTGTGGTTTGTGATTGTTGCTGAAAACCGAAGCCAGCGTGTTGAGTCACTTAGTCCTTAAACACATTCCTATTAAACCAAGACTCAATATCACACTTGAGGAAACCGAACCACATTTTTAATGAAAGAAAAGTTGTGGGTCATAGCATACGGCATCGCTGTTTGCGGTTGTCACAATTTCCACATTTTTTTTATACTTCTTATTATATTCACTTGAATTTCTCTTCTAGTCTCATTCATACCCCGCGCGCAGCAATTAGACAATATATGTAGAACCTGTTGCAGTGGCGTCAAGTTTCGCCGGTTTTAGAACAATATTTGTATTTCTCTTGAAATGAAGAAATCGTCACGAACATATCTACAAACAATTATATGAACATACTATATAGTATGTGGCACTACATAGACTTGAACGGTATTACGTCAGAAAGTATTTCTAGCACATAATTGCGGGTCGTAAATAAGCAGTTAGGTGTACTAAGTATATATTTTCTTATTGCCAAATTACAATTCGGTTGTAAGGAAACGGGGCGAAATTTGTTTATTTCTAATGATGGGAAGAAATGTAGAAAGTGCACCCATGGAAAATATATATGTATACATATGCTTCTGGAATGTATATATGTATGTTTATAAGAAACGTAACAGGTTCTAAAAGACGGACGATTTTTTTTTTAATAATTCGGAAGTTTTATTTTTGTTTGATTTTGCACTTGTTCTATGAGACTTAGTAGCTTTGGATATAACAAGTCTTAGAGGCTAGCGAATCGAACAAGCAACTGGTATAAATCACACAGATTGGCATAGTCAAATAGAAATTGTATAGGATACGAGCATATCACTCTAATAGAGTATGCTCGTATATAAACTATCTTGTCTTTAATTCCCGAAGACTGCTTTGTTTGTTAACTTTTTGACCATCTTATACGCAGATAATTCATAGGGCTTTTTGGTCGAAAGTTAGGCAGCATATATTTTTGTTACGATTTCTACAATATCCAATTAGGGAGAGACTACTTGGCTAATGTCTATGAGTGCTAGTTATACATTCTGTGAAATGGTTGCAATTTTTACCAGTCAAGGATTGTTTTTTGCCGATTTAACCTTGTGGATTTGTTAAAATAACGGTGGTTAGAAGACCGGAACCGATCAAGGCGAATTTTACGGCGATCAAGTCTATTTTTTAGGCTACATAACCCCGTTCATACCGATAAGTAGCTTGGTTAAAAGAGGGATACGAGCCTTGTTTAGAAGACCAGGAGTTATCTCGGATAATTTTCAGTCGATCTAACCCTGTTTAGATCGAAAAGTACCATGCTAGAAGACCATAACTGGTCAAGGCAAATTTTTAGATAATCTAACCTCGGTTAGACCGATATTTACCTTGGTTAGAAAATCGAGACTGGCCAAGGCTTATTTTTAGACCGGAGTAATACCGTAATAACTTTCATTTCTTGTGAGTTTGGAAGTATAAAAAAGCCAAAATGTGTTTAGTTACCTCTAAGGATCTTACTAATATGTAAAAAAAAACCGTGTAGCTCTACTGCGATTAAAAAAAAATTATCGAAAAAAAAAATATTTTGAAGGGTCTAATGTTAGGTAATAATATTTTTTTTCTCTATATATCAAAAACAATATATTCTACGTTTCCACTTACCTCGTCGCGGTGAAGTTCGCTCCTCACGACCGGGAGCCGTGCCAGCTAACGTCGACGTTGCCTCGGCGCTTCTAGTCTTCTCCTGCTGCAGCTGTTGGAACATATTAGCACGAGCGCGTACACTATTCTTGCGTGTCAGCCCAGCACCAGCACCGGCGGCGTCAGCACCATCTTCAACTTTGCCAGCACCTCCGATTGGCGCCTCCTCAATGCCAGACATTTCAAAGATACGTTCACTGTCACTACCCGTCGATAGGTTTAATTGTTCACTTATGTTGTTATTGTTGTGATTGTTGTTATTAGCGTTGCTGTAACTATCACTTAACGAATTGTGACGTCCGATTGCGGCGCGTAGCGTTGGCAGTGGTGGTGTATTGGAAGATGAAGACGTTTCCGCTGCCTTGAAGTGATGCTGACTATGCAGCGGCTGGGTGGCGCAACGCGTGAGTGTGTAGCTGCTACCCGGCGAGATGCTAGAGGCGGCTGTTGGCGCATTCAAATGGGCGAATGTGTTGTAATTGAGACCCGCGTCCAGCGATTTAGTCGGTTTGAAGGCGGATGTGGTGGAGGTGTCAAGCGGCGATGCTGTGGCTTTAAAGCTGTGGAATTGAGGAAGTGATTTTCACGTCAATTTTATTATTTATTTTCCAGGAATTTTCAAGTAATTTTACTTTTATTTTCTGGTATTTGTTTTATTGTTTTGAATACACTATTTGAAAAAGATTATTTTGTGGCTTTTGAATGATTTTTCAGCTCATAAATAAAGGCTTCATTAAGACAATAATTGCGGTCATGAATTATTGTAGACTTTAGACTTTTATAACTTGATTATTTATTTTTTAAATATTTTTTTGTCACATTACAACAATTCTATTGCCTCATCGGCTGGCCAGATAACAATGGTAAATGAGTAAAAATTAAAATAAATGAGGAATCAAAAGGAAAAAATAAATGAAAAATAAACACAAATGGCAGCAATTATTCTATATCTTTCTTTAGATTATTGCGACTTCGTCGACTTAATAAATAATTTTCAGTATAAAAAACTTTCCAGCTGTAACTGAGCATTACCACATATATCAATGATAAGACACTCAAATATATTGAATATAATTTCAAGTAAGCAAATACTTATTTCCAATAAGCAACACCTCCCATAAATTCTGCGCGCTTGGCTGTTGGTCAAGCAAAACTAGCGGCGCTGCTCAAGCGGCATTGCTTCTCGGAATCGGTGGTAATTAGCGTTGCATTTCGATTGGGTCAATAAAGTTGGCTATTTTGCTATTATTTCGCTAGCCAAAGATTTTTCACGCTTTCAACAATTTGTTGCCATACCTCAGCAATCGGACAATCATACATATATTTTAGCTTTTCAAAATATGTATGTGTGCAATTATACGTATATATCGATCGAAGGCGTTGCTTTTATTTTGCAATGGAAAATCTTTCGCATAAACATTTGTGGTGGAACGTGCCATAAACAAAGCGCAACTGCTTGCGAATGAAATTTAAAAGAGAAATAGATGAAAAAATAAAAAAAATATTAAAAAGGTTGAAGAAAATTTAAAAAATAGAAAAAAATTTAAAAAAGAAGGTTGAAGAAAATTTAAACAAATTGAAAAATATAGAAAAAAAAAAATATAAAAAAGAAGGTTGAAGAAAATTGAAACAAATTGAAAAATATGAAAATATGAAAAAATGTAAAAAAGAAGGTTGAAGAAAATGGAAGAAATTTTTTTTTTCGCCATAAAAAGTTTGTTAGCCAATTCACTTTTGTATACAGTGCGAATAAACACACTTTGGAAATGTTCAAGAAAGTAGCGAAGTCTATAGTGGATAGCACTATGCTCCATGGGCATTTTATATTTGTATCGATATTTCAAAATCAATTTCTCTAACTCTCTACTTAAAGAAATTAATCGATAATTGTTATCAATAATATTTCAAAGTACACTCTAAAACTTCACTTCAGGAAATTAATCGATATTTTAATCAATAATTTTTTATTGATTATATTTCAAAATCAAACTTCCATAAGCTCACCTATTCCTATTATAGGAATCTATTTTTCGACTTCACGAAATTTATCGATATTTTAATCGAAAATTTTATCGATAACGAATTTCAAAATCGATTTCCTGTTGCTGAAAACAAGTATAAAAAAATTCCTTTACCTTCACGACAAAATAAAACTCATCTATTACTATTATAGGAATCTATTTCTCGACTTCACGAAATTTATCGATATTTTAATCGACAATTTTATCGATAACGAATTTCAATATCGATTTTCTGTTGCTGAAACCAAGTATAAAAAATTCCTTTACCTTCACGACAAAATAAAACTAGCCTTTGACTAGCGCAATAGATTTTATCAATGAACGATAATGTTCTTGATAAAAAAGTAATAATATGTGTATATTTCAGATAATTGTAAGTACATTAGGATGGGTCAAAAAATAAAAAGCGAACTCAAGAAAAAATCATTATAAATCGGAAACCACAGAGTATTGTAGGAAATTTATCGTTTCAGAAAAATTATCGCCGATTTTTTATCGAAAAAATGTACGATAAATTTCCAAACTGAAATGTCTCTAAAGCCTTTTGATTCAACAATTTTAAAGCGAGAATTTTTCCAGTACCATATAAAATCTATTTCAACTCTTAATAAATCTTTCGATTTTTTTAAGCGGAGCACATCTCTTATATTATTATATAAAATGGACTATTTAAAAAGCTTTTAAAGATAAGCTTATCTTTCATTGTTGTTTAGTTTAGCGTTGTTACAAAACATTTACGTGTTTTTATCCCTCTTTCTAAATTGTATGACTTTGTTATTTTTATAGTGTTTCCCCAAGCACGTTGTCGCTTCACTATCAATCAAAGTCATTATCTGAACTACTAATAATCTACTAATAGACCAAAGATTGGTATGTTGAAATGAGCACCAAAGACGGTGAACGCTGTGTACGGTCAAAAAAGATTGTTGTCCTCGAAAACGTCAAAAAAGTCCAAAAAAGAATTTCAAATGCTCAGAACTTTTGGCGAAAGAGAAAGTGCTGTTTCGTCAAGACATTGCACCGTGTGACAAACCGGCGATCACAAATCCATAAAGTGGGTCTCTAACGACTATTTTCTGTTATCAGGCTTCAAAAGAACACTCGCTGGGAATAAATTCTCGTCAATAATTGAAGAGGCCTATTTTGTAGTAACGAAAAAATCGTACTACAAAAATTGTATCGAATAGCAGGAGGGTCGCTTTAGTTAGTGTATCACCCTTGAAAAGAAGTATTTTGTATAAAAAAGCAAATGTGGCCACAAGAGAATGTTTAACTATAGTAGGCTGGGGACTTTTCGATTGACTTTTTAGTCAAAAACGTCGTATTCGTAATAAAATTTACACTACAGAGTAACAAAAAAACTCGAAATTATATTCAAAAATGGTATTTAATCGGTCAGTACCTGACAAAGAAAAGTGTCATGTGAAAATTTCAAATCGATTCGAACAAAATTCCGATCGGACAAATTTTACTCAACGTTTTCGAAACCAACATTACGAGTAAGACGCGTTTTAAGTTTTGTGAACTGATTATTACTAAGTTCTTATTCTTATTCACACGAATACGCTCATATTCCCGAAACTTTTTGTCGGATATTTATAAATATATATTCAAATATATGTAGGTGTATTCGATAAAACGTATTCAAAACAAAAAAAAAAATATTTTGATTAATGAAGATGTGGATAAAACCCCTTAATAAATAATCCCTTAAATGGCTGTGATACTGAGAAAAATGTATCTAAAATTAAAATCCAATTCATTTTTATTTTGTTTTTCCTTAGGTCGACACATCTGCTGTCTTAGCTTTAAAGATATTATTTGCATTTAATGGATGGATCAGATTACAACAAAAGTTGCCTGAAAGCATATTAAGATGCATGGTATTTATTGGTGTTTTATGAAAGTTTAGGGTAGGTTAGGTGATTCACCTACTTCTGAGGATGCATATAGAGCTAAGAGGAATTTTTGCCGATCTTTTTGGAAATAAATTCCTCAAAATTTTGCAATGATCACATTTTTTTTTTAATTTGAAAATTATATAAAAATCAGACTAGACCTTTCTTCAGGAAGTTCTGAGCTCTTTGGAGCACAAAATGAGTATTTAATATTTTTTTAATATCATACGAAATTCTTCATGATAGGTAAATAGATGAGGATTGCAACGCGACAAAAGGGCTATTGTATACTCCTATCCTTAATGAAACACCCTATGCATGAACACTGCTATATAATGAAAGTAGGGAATTGCAAACGCAGCCATAAATAAAATAATGATCATAAATAAAATAAGAAAAAAATATAAATATGAAAAAAATACGAACAAAAACAAAAACAAAGGTCGAAATGGTAATTGCCAAACCAAACTGCACCATTCACTTAATTCGTTTTTACAGATTTCGCAAAAATAATATGCGTTATTTCGTTAAATATAGATTGCCGCTTTTGTAATTCATATTTTTGCCAATCTTTTTTTACCGAATTTTTCAACACGCACACACACGTATACTAATACATACACTGGATTTTTGGTTTATTTATAGACGTTCAATAGATCGCTTGCACTTAATTTTCTCACAAAAAAATTAAAACAAATTTAGAATTATACGTTTTCGAAAGCAATTGGCGTTTTCGCTTCACCAAACGATGAAAAATGAATTTTGCTGCATTTAATATAAAATAAAAACAAAATTTAATTAACACATTTGTCGAAGTAATTATTTAATTATACATTTGTGTACGTATAATCTGCCGAAAAGCCAATAAAGCACACACTTCATAACCGTTATGCGTCCACTCGCGCGTCTCACGACTAACCGACTCGTAATAAACGTTAAACGAACATAATTCAACGCGCATTAACACTTTTGGCCGAAATCACTGATTTTGCTGCGCCGTCTGTCCATACGTTTTGGATAGATATTGCGCGATAGCTGCGCGCCCAGCTAACCGCTATTTACGTTGACCGGTGTTACTAAATAACTACAACAGCACGCGGGGTTGGCAGCAGCTGCATGAGCGCTGATAAAGATACGACTTCACATGCTCGTCATGGAAGCGATCGATAAGAAACCTTCAACACTTTTGGCCTTATCACAAATCAACTTCGGTTGCGTAAACACACCATCGTTTACAAATACAAACATACATATGAATGAGTATAATTTATATACTGCTTTCAAGCGCGGCATACATTTTAGATAATTTTAGTAAGTTGTTTGTTGTTGCTTTCTTTTACCAGCTGCGATCACATTCAATCCAAACGGCCGTGTGTTAGCGTAAACGTTTTAACAACGAAATTGGCTCAGACGAACGACGACGAATAGTGGGGGGAAATGAAAATGCGCGGTCGTTCGATGCGAGATGGCGTTCCGCGTATGTGAAAAACTCAACTGAATGCCGAAATACAAAGTGATCTTTTTAGCGCGAAAAGCAAAACAAGATCGGACGGCATGAGCGTATTTTTGCTTTCCTCAAAAATTACCAAAAATAAATACAAATAAAAAATAGAAATAGAAATAAAACGAAAATATCACACG